AACTCATAATTATTGTTTTTAAAATTATTTCTTAATCAGAAAGATAAAAATTCTTATTTAATTTTACAAATTTTTTACAAGCCATTAATAAAGAACTAAAAATTAAATAAATAAATAACTAAAGTTTTTTAAAAATATTAACATTTTAAAAATGATTCATTAATAAATAAAATGCATTAATTCAAGATTGCAAATTTAAAAACTTTAATTTAGAATATTTATCCAATATTATTATTTACTTTGAAATATTTAAAGAATAAAAAAAAAATTAACATTTTAACGGTATTTTACTTTTTTTCCTTCATCTTATCCACGAATTTAGAACAAAAAATAAATTATTCGAATTACCTTTCAAGTGACGGAATTCATCCTCAATTGTTGACGTTATAATCCAAATTGTACAAGGCACACATTTTTATGTGACAAAACATGCAAAACTAATTTCATTCATTTTTTTTTTTTTTTTTTTTCATTTTTTTTTTTGCAAACGATTTCATTAATAATAAATAAAATCATGTAATTTTCCTCAAAACGATAATTCTTTTTTTTTTTAATAAAAATTTCACTCAACTCCACAATTAATTTCCGACGATTAATTTCGAACAAAGCAGCACGATCACGGATGCTTTTCCAACCCATAATAAAAAATTCTTCCGATTTTTTTTTCAAAATAAAAATCGTTCCGTTCGTGTAGTGCAACGGAACCAGCAAAAAACCCAACCGTTCCGTTTGCGAAAGGCGAGTAGATAGGAACCTATACACGTTCCGAAATCTGTATTTATACTTTGGCAAGGAATTCGACTTCCCAAGTAGGAACCCTTGGCCAAAAACTCGGCGGAGTAGTTGTAGAAGTAGCTGGGAAGAGGAGAGTAGTTTCCGAACGTGACGTCATCCCGTGATCCGTTACCTCAGCAACTGTAACGGGATTGACGTCAGTGCTGTTACGTCAGCTTGCATGGGGTCCGAGTTACCCAAATCGGATCAGAGGATACTTGGCAAGCTTTTCATCCGAGGTTCCACGTGAAAAGCTGTGGAAATACCGCTGCGTTTGTTGTTTCCCGACTATTTTTACCCGATTGTTAGACCAGCTGATCGGTTACAGTTAAGTGAATCTTTTAAGAACTTTCTGCGGCCCAATCGCAGCAGGGTTTGTGAAATATTTTTTTATGTCTTTCGGAAATTGTAACAATAAATCTATACGACCGGAAACACATGCCTTCCGTTTCAATTATAGTTTGGATATCTAGAGGTAATAAAAAAGTTTTGCAAACATCTTTAAATGTTTTTCGATTTGTATTTAATTGAGTATGAGTTGGCCTGTGTGCTTCTATATGAAGTAATAAATGACAAGATGATATATAGAATGTTTTTTTTTTAAAGATAATTGAAGTTCCGGTTGACTTGATCCTAACTTTTTGTAAATAAAACATGAAATAATTACAAAACTCACGATGTAAATTATGTATATATATCTGAATAAATATATAGAGAAAAGATTTTTTGAAAACAACATGCTTATTTATTTAATGTTATGTGTAATAACATAGTATTAAACATAAAAAACATAAACATTATAAATTTGAATAAATATATAGAGAAAATTTTTTTTGAAAACAACATGTTTATTTATTTAATGTTATTATTGTTACGTGTAATAACATAGCATTAAAGATAAAAAACATAAACATTATGAATTTGAATAAATATATAGAGAAAAAATTTTGAAAACAGCATGCTTATTTATTTAATGTTATTATTGTTATGTGTAATAACATAGTATTAAACATAAAAAACATAAACATTATAAATTTGAATAAATATATAGAGAAATATTTTTTTGAAAACAACATGCTAATTTATTTATTGTTATTATTGTTATGTGTAATAACATAGTATTAAACATAAAAAACATAAACATTATAAATTTGAATAAATATATATAAAATTTTTTTTTTTTTTTGAAAACAACATGCTTATTTATTTATTGTTATTAATGTTATGTGTAATAACATAGTATTAAACATAAAAAACATAAACATTATAAATTTGATTAAATATATATAGAAATTTTTTTTTAAAACAACTTGCTTATTTATTTAATGTTATTATTGTTATGTGTAATAACATAGTATTAAAGATAAAAAACAAACATTATAAATTTGAATAAATATATAGAGAAACTTTTTTTGAAAACAACATGCTTATTTATTTAATGTTATTATTGTTATGTGTAATAACATAGTATTAAACATAAAAAACATAAACATTATAAATTTGAATAAATATATAGAGAAAAGATTTTTTGAAAACAACATGCTTATTTATTTAATGTTACTATTGTTATGTTTAAAAAACGTAGCGCTAACATGATAAGCTAGTATACATTGAGAATGAAAACTCATATTCCGCTGGCAGCATGTAGTTTGAAGACAATAACAAAGTAATGCTTTCAAATATATTTATTGTTATTATTATTATTATTGTTGTTGTTGTTGTTAAAAAGTGAAAGCTTGGTAAAAAAATTAGTTTTTGCATTAGATCAGCCTAAGAACTTTTGAGACTACAATTGTCAATAACATTTCCTGTTATGAAAATTCGGAAAACAACAATATGAAAATTTTATATAAATTTCTGTAGCATAAAAAAAATAAGTTTCCAAATCTTTTTCTATTTTTTGGCTCTAAACAAAACAACAAACTCTTTGACATTTACGGGCAGCTACAGGCTTTAAATCAAACAATTATTTTCGAGGAGATTTAATTTTTTGGGGGGTGGGGTGGGGGGGGGTGGGGGGGGGGGGTTGGAATTTAATAATTTTACCTTTAGTAATTTTTTAAAGTAGTTCTTTTATCCTGGAAGTATGCGGAAATTTATTTTTAATGCATTTTGTACATTTAATTTGAAAATAATGTTCTAAAAATACGATGGCTGTCTGAGATATATTTTGTATTTCATGTAGTAAGTTTTCTTCTGTAAAACTCTATCACTTAAAAAAAATTATGCATTACAACAAACATTTAATTCATATGCTAATTTAAATTTTTATTTCGTTTCAAATATTAATTTTAATTTTAAACTATGCGATTTTAAATAATTTTTGTGTAGGTTGTGATTCTTCAATAATTTATCCAAAAAAGGGTAACTTATACTCTATTTTTATAATAAAATTGGATCAATTAGTGAGTATTATATTCTTATTCGGCAATTTACTTGCTCGTCATTATTGTTCTGCTGTTGTAACTCAACAATTGTTACTCCCAATAACTCTTTTCCCTTTTAAAAAACGAAAAGTGTAAAATTATTTAGATTAATGGCCATTTTTTTAAATTTAGAGAAATGTTTTAATGCTTTCATGGATTTTATGATTTCTTTTACAATAAAATAGAAATTCCCCGGTGAATAGAAACCTACTAAGTAAGTTATAGCGTTTCTCAAGCAGAAACATTATGCAACATCTTTGTTAGCTTTTGATAATAATTGATATTTATAATAATAATTGTTATAAAAAAAGTGCTCGACTCATGGCTCAATGGCAATGTGCGCCACTGGTGAGCATTAAAGCTGAGATTCAATCCACTGGCAGCTTTGTTGAAGAAATTGTTTTAAAAATCGAAGAGGCTCGATCACGTTTGTTGCTGTATGAGTCGGACTACCTGGTGGTAGTTTCCGGTTTTTGTCCTATACGATACGCAAATGCGGGGTAGTTTCCCCTGAAAGTCCTCCTGGAAGGCACTGCCGTCCTTCAGCGACGCGGAGCCAAGCTAGACTTCTACTTACAAGTGCTCCATCACAACAGAAGCTGCCCTTTTCCCCTACAACCGTGAGTAGATTTCACAAGGGCTGTCCGTCCCGCATTGCATGACTCTAAGGATTAGACACAATACATCATAAGAAAAAATTCTAATTAAATCTTATGGCAGTAACGTAACATAGAAAAATACAGATAAAAAAGACTTTAATATGAATAATTTATTAATAGTGCTTTTTTTTAAAAAATAGTAATTTAATTTACTAGTAATTAATAGTCATTTAATTTAATAGCATTTTTTACCACTATTAATTAATAGTGCTGCATAGTAATTTAATTTACATGTAACAAAAGGAAAATTTTCCGAGTAACTCAATAAAACACACAAATAAATTTCTTAATTTTAAAATAATTAACATACTGAATAACATGGCGTGTGTGCTATTTGCCATAAAATATTTCTCCAACTCGATAGGTTTAATTGCAAAACCTTTTGAGAAAAACATCAGTTCCGACTGTTCAAACACCTAACAAGTGTTTTGAGAGAAGGAAATTGAGTCTCATATCTTGATAAACACATTCGATTTTTTTTTTTTTTTTTTTTTTTTTTTTGTGCAGTTGTTTTACTTGTATAATAGAAGGAAAAATTATCGCTTAACTGAATAAAACCACTTAAAATAAACTTACGATAAAAATAAGAAAACTAATAATCGATAAGAAATTAGAATAATAAACGATTTAAATATTATTTGCCCTTCAAAAAAAAAATCTTACTTTACTAATTAGTACTAATTTTTTTTAAAATTTAGTAAATGTATGAACCAAAAACGTATGAATCAATAACCTGAATAATTTCATGAAAATTATGTTGTTGTTGTTGTGTCTTATCCTCAGTGTGGGACGAACATTCCATGAGTAATTTACTCATCATATTTATTACCAATTTTAATGAACAAATATGTTTGTTTGTTGTTTCTTATCCCACTTGGCTGGCCAAGCCCACGAACCCATACGTACTCATGATTGAAGGGGAAGGAAGCAGCTTCTGTTGTGATGGAGCACCCGTAGATAGAAGTCTGACTTTGGCCCCGTGACGCTCTTGCAGTCTTAGGAGACCGGGACCTACGGCTTAAAGTGGATTCCGAACCACTACGAATATCCATGGCACCGCCGGGATTCGAACCCGAAACCTGTGGCACCGAGCGCCAGAGAGCTAGACACTCGGCCATTCAGGTCCCAAATTTGTGAATGCCAACGGCACGCGGTGTTCTCAGGTGGTCAACAGACCGTTACTGACCGCGCCCAATGATGCTTGACTTCGGTGATCTAAGGAGAACCGGTATATTCAGCATGGTATGGCCGTTGGCTTGAACAAATATAATTGTATAGAACACATTGGTATCATTTCTATAAATATTTTTAGTAAATATTGCTGTTATTCAGAAGTCATTGGATCTTGTCCAATTTAATTGGTGGTATATCTTTATCCATATGGGAAAAAAAGTAAAATATAATTTTCATTATTATGCATCCAAAAATTGGTATGAAATGATAATTTGATGTTAAGCAATAATTTTCCAATAAAATAATTTTATTTCGTTTATAAATTTTTAATTTTCAAAACCGAAGTAAGTAAATTAAACTTTGCTAGTAAAAAGAATTAGTTCCAGTATCATATAAATAAAAAGCCAGATTCTCAATTAAATTTCTTGATAAAAAAAAATTGAAAATGGCTTGTTTTTAAACCATTTTACCTCACCAATTTTTTTATATTTTTTTCAATTATTATATATTTTACTTCAATGTATCTAATCTTATTATATAATTAATCAACTTTTAAATATTTTTTAGGAACTCATATTAATAATGGAAATGACGTGATAAATCTGTAAGCCTGAAAGTTATTCCTTTATGATCAAGCAGAATGAGAATCGGAACAGAATGAGAATTTAAAATTTTTCCATTAGGATAGATGAAATCCTGGGGATGTTCTTTCCAAATTGCTGTAACAAAATGGGATTGTAGTAGCTCCTCTATAGTGTACCTATGTAACACTGAATATGCCATTTAATTATCCTTGTAGTGGCATCAAAATGTCAAGGCATTTTTATTAAAGAAAATAACTTCATTATAATAAGGAAAATTCAAAAAATAGTGTTTATATATTAATTAATATCATTTACATAGGGGCCTGGTGGCCGAATGGCTAGCGCTCTGGGGTTCGGTACCCACAGGTATCGGGTTCAAATCCCGGTTTTGTCATGGATGTTTGTAGTGGTTCGGAATCCACTTTTAGCTGTAGGTCCCGTCCTAATAGGATCGTAGAGAGAGAGCTGCGCAGGGGCATTGTTACTCCACGTCCGTGGTTTACCATCAATTTACACGCGCCCCCTGGGTAATGCAAAGTGAGTAACATCGGTGCAGCCCTTATGGCGAAAGATCACGGTCTATTTGCCAGTTGCATTAGAAGAAGAAAAAAATATAATTTACATTTCAATTCCTGGAATATGATACAATATATTTTTAAAGGGCTATAAGAAACAAATAAAATTTTAAAAATATGATATATGATTTTTTGTGGATATTTCTATTTTCAGAGTAGCTCCTCTTTTTTTTTTTTTTTTTTTTTTTTTTTTTTTTTTTATTGCAACATTAGTTACCATTAAAGACAAACCTAATTGAAAAAGTCATATTTCAAGAAATATTTAAGGATTATGTATAAAATAATATGATTCCTTTTAAATTTAATAATGTTTCTTATTTTAGCAGTGTTTCTGTGTGAATAATCCTTAGTGTCCGGTAGCGCGGGACGGACAACCCATGAGTACATGGATGATGAGTACTCATGGATGAAAGGAAAGGGAGTAGCTTCTGTTGTGATGGTGCACCCGTAGGTAGAAAGCTTGACATGGCTCCGAATCTCTGAAGAAGGAGGGTAGTGCCATCCAGGAGGATTTTTAGGGGGAACCATCCCGCTTTTGGGGAAAATCCTCAAATGCGGGGTAGTTCCCCCGAACCGTATGGGCGAAATCCGGAAAACTCCCACCAAATAGCCTGACTCTTGAGGCAAGATGCTGAAAATCCCAAACGTCATCGAATCTCCTCATTTTTGTAAACAATGTCTACAACAAAGCCGCCAGCGGAGTAAACTTCGGCCCTACTAATGCTCACCAGCGGCGCTCTTTGCCACTGAGCCCCTAGTCTGGTAAATATAACGGTATATTAGCACATAACAAATAAAATTTTAAAGATACAATTTTTTCTGGATTCAGCAGTATTTTCTTTCTTTCTTTTTTTTTTTTCTTTTCTTTTTTTCATTTTGATTTTTTTCTTTCTTAATTTCAACATTAATTACTATAAAACACAAATGTAATGCAAAAATTAGTCATATTTCAAGAAATACTTAAAGATATATATAATAGTGTGATTCTTTTTAAATTTAATGAATGTTACTTATTTTATGAAAGAATTTATTTGAACCTTTTGCGGCGCCCCCTCCCCCCCATGGTTATTCTACTCATGGATGGAGGGTAAAGGGGCAGCTTCTGTTGTGATGGAACATCCATAGGTTGAAGTCGGACTTGGTTCCGTGTAGCTGAAGAAGAAGGGCAGTGCCTTCCGGGAGGACTTTTAGGGGGGAACTACCCCACATTTGAATATAGTATGGGCAACAACCCGTAAAACTCGCACCAGGTAGTGTGACTAATGAGGCAAGATGCTGAACATCACAAACAGCATCGAATCTCCTCATTTTTGTAAACAATGTCTACAACAAAGCCGCCAGCGGAGTAAACTTCGGCCCTACTAATGTTCACCAGCGGCGCTCTTTGCCACTGAGCCCCGAGTCTGGTAAATATAACGGTATATTAGCACATAAAAAATAAAATTTTAAAGATACAATGATTTTTCTTTTCTTTTCTTTTTTTTTATTATTAATTTCAACATTAATTACTATAAAACACAAACGCAATGAAAAAATTAGTCATATTTCAAGAAATATTTAAAGATACATATAAATAGTTTCTTTTTAAATTTAATGAATGTTTCTTATTTTAGTAATGTTTTTTATTAATGAAAGAATTTATTTGAACTCTTTGCTATCCCACCCTGCCTTAAAATTTCCGTTATCGTTTGGTGCCAAACGATTTCAATCAGGAACTTCTCGGAAAAGTTTAAGAGAAACATGATGCAGCTGTGTTTACTTTTCTTTCAAGGCGTTGTTACACTATCTGCAATCAGAAACTTCTACGATAATAAATTCATCATAACTGAAAATTACGTACGGAAGTTTAAGTCACATTTTTTCGCAAAGGCAATTTTGAAGTTCGTTGAGACTTAGAAATTGAAATAAAAAAAAATTTATTCGATGAATGAAACGCAGTATTATGGACACTGAAGCAATGTATTCATTAATATTCATTAATATTGTAACAGCTGCTCCATATGACGCAAAAGGGTCTTACATAAAATAAACTTCTGCAATACAACTACATACAATGTATTCGTACCATTCGCACTGGAGAACTCGTGTGGTTTTTAACATTTATAAATTAACAATATACTCTCCTAAAATTATTGTATATCAATGTATTAAATATAAATTCATCCATAATAAATAATAAATTCCTTCATCGTCATTAATTTGCTGATTAATTTGCTTTGTAAACAAATGAATAAAATTGTCATGGAAAATGTTTAAAACTTACTTATATGTTAATTTTTTATGACATATTAAAGAATAAAGTAATATGCTACGAAAGCAGTCCTAATGTATTTTTACATTTAGTAATGTTATTTACAGTTATTATTAATAATGAAATTTTTAATCTGCCAGTAGGCAGACGGCTTTGCCCCAACATGGGAATGATACACCAATGAAGAAGAATATATAGTCAGAAAATAATATTTAACAAAAATCTGAACTTTTAAATTTTTATAAAAAAATAATATTGTTAATTAATTAATTTAATTAATTAATTTTTCTTTCTCTTAATAATATATATATTTTTTATATTATAAGAATGCGCATCTTTTTCGTGGCTCAGGGCATCAAACTATGTAATAAAGAATTTACAATACAGAAATAAAACTAGTTTGAAAATATATACCTTTGTAAGAAGATGTTTTATTACTATTGATTTTTCACATTTTAATACATAATAATAACACACGAAGTTTTAAAACTTTAAATATTTTCTCCCAGGTACGGAGCAGTTTTGAAATAGCATCTAAGGTTCCTGTACTCAGGTACCCTATATGCCTCTAAGGTATTTGAAATTCAATATTTCTCGTGTATTCATCTGAGAAGGATGTGATAAACGTGTAGGCTGAAAAGTCACTCGATTAGATCAGAGGAGGAGTGTGTTAATACTACCAACCATGGTGATGATTCATTTCAAATTGCAGTGGCACTAAAGTAGAAGTTATGCCACAGGGTCTCGTAGCGAGGTGAATTTTGATAATAATTCTGGATCTGCTATATAAAATAATTAATAAATAATAATTCTGAATTAATAAATTATGAATCATATAATTCTGAATCTGCTACAGATCTTTCATTCTAATGACGAAAGACTTTAAATTAAGTGTTAAACATTTGACACAGCAAAGATATATTTCCCCTCAACAAATCATTTTCCTCATATTCATAAAATAGCGTATTTACATTATGATTCTATGTTACTGAAATTCAATCTGTTGTAAAAATTGCTACGTTTTACAAAAGATATTAATAATTCCTTTGCAAGCTTTGATATATTTAGCCTTGTAAACCTAAAACAGAGAAAGTTTTAAACTGCTTCGTAGCCATTACAAAACAAATTTCACTATCGTCTAAAATGAAGAAACTTCGTATGCAACGATGAACAGCAAATTTCTGAATCACTTTCTATGATTAGCATTTTATTTCGCTTGTGCGATTGTAGTTAATAATGTATTTATATTTATTTTTAGATATAGCACATTGTATGCGTTTCTGATAGGATTCTATTAATGTGTAAAAATAAAAATGTAGGGAAATTTATACAATGTATAAATATATTTCTGTTGAATATTTCTGGTTTCAACTTTTGAAATTTTCTTCAACAAAAACTACTAAATAAAGATATATTGTGACATTTTTACAAGCTATAAAACGTCACTTATACGTAGGGGTTTAAAATAAACTAGAAATTATTGAACACAATATTTTTCAAATATTAAATGGAACACTTTTCTAATATTGGACACAATATTTTTCTAATATTTTTTTTCTAATGCAGCTGGCAAATAGACCGTGATCTTTTTTTTTATGCGATAAGGACTTGCACAGACGTTACTCACTTTGTATTATCCAAGGGGCGCGTGTTGCTTAAAGATAAGCCA